CATCAGAAGGCACAAGAAAGGGAGACAGACTCATTCACACACTCAGGAATCCCATTAATATCCTGAACTGGAAACCATAATACATATACAAAGGACCTGTAGTGTAAAAACAGAGAAAAATATGTGTGTAGATAAAATAAATTAAAATAAATAAATTAAATTTTAAAAAGGAGAATTCCTGACAAGATTCTGTGAGACATGAAACCTCCAAAGATGCCACTGGGTTTGGTTTTGGTTGGACATCTATTGCTGGGCATGTAGCCTATCTCAAGAATACTTCGTTTCCTCGTGAGACACCGTTAGAAGAAACTAAAGTTTCTCTTACAAGTGGTTATTAATTGGAGATGACATCTGGGTTAGGGATGGGGGCATGTAGTGACTTCTCCTTTCAAATCACCTCCAGGCACAATATGATGGAGATCTGTGAAGGACTTGTGCTTACTACCTTAGTCTATTTGCATCCATATGTGTGTTGTTCATGTTGATTTAGAAGCCTTTTTCCTTGGTGTACTCCATCCCCTCTGGCTCTTACACTTTTTCTACCACCTTTCCTCAGAGTTCAATGGACCATGAGAAAACTGGTTGATGGATTTTTGGCTGAGTGTTCCAATGTCTCTCACTCTCTGCATAATGTTTGGCTGTGTTCTCTGTGTTTCTTCTCATCTGCTACAGCTGAAATATTCACCAATGATGACTGATGAAGGCACTGATACTGATCTATCAGGACAGCAGAATGTCATTAGGAGGGAGTTTACTGACACTTTTTTCCTCATTTTAAACCAGTGTTATTTGGATTTACCTCAGGTCCATAGGCTATCTAACATCAGGTTCTTGGTCATGCAAACAGTGCTGGCAGCTGGCATGGGTTCTGACTCATAGAGTGGGCCTTCAATCAAATCAGATATTGGTTGCTTACTCACATAAGCTTTGTGCTACAATTGCACTAGCGTATTTTGCAGGCAGTACACCATTGTAGATAAAAGGTTTGTTCTGGCTGATGTTTATATTTCTCCTTTGATAGTATGGGTAGTACCTTCCTGTATCAAAAATTCTTGAACATAGGGCTAAAGGCTTGAATGGTAGTATAGAAACTTAATAGAGTAGAAGCCTGTGTGTGTGTGTGTGTGTGTGTGTGTGTGTGTGTATATAGGATATAGAAAAACAGGTTCTTGGTCATGCAAACAGTGCTGGCAGCTGGCATGGGTTCTGACTCATAGGCTATCTAACATCAGGTTCTTGGTCATGCAAACAGTGCTGGCAGCTGGCATGGGTTCTGACTCATAGAGTGGGCCTTCAATCAAATCAGATATTGGTTGCTTACTCACATAAGCTTTGTGCTACAATTGCACTAGCGTATTTTGCAGGCAGTACACCATTGTAGATAAAAGGTTTGTTCTGGCTGATGTTTATATTTCTCCTTTGATAGTATGGGTAGTACCTTCCTGTATCAAAAATTCTTGAACATAGGGCTAAAGGCTTGAATGGTAGTATAGAAACTTAATAGAGTAGAAGCCTGTGTGTGTGTGTGTGTGTGTGTGTGTGTGTGTGTAGGTGACATAATTCAATAACCAAATACTAGTGTAGTCTAAGACCTAAATGAACATCTCTTGTCATCAAATGACACCCCCCTGTACTGGATTGAGTTACATCTAATTGAGTTGTTGGCCAAAGGGGCAAAGGGGCCACATGGCATATTGCCAATACTATAAATTTCTCTCTACAAACTGATGACTAAGCCCAATTGCTAAAGACAATATGTACATAATTTATTGAATGTGGAGAAGTTCAGCTGGTACCTATTTAGAAACACCCTGCTTTTTCTATTTTAGTTATTAGACTTACAATTTCATCTTCATTTTAGCTTTAGTTCTCTTCAATTTTCCTGTCCATCTCCATGTTGTAATCCATTCTTAATTCTTGGATTGTCTTCTTCATTTCCATCAGCCTTCTGATTGTGGTTTCATTACTCAGGTGTTTATTCTGCTTAAATTATTTATTCTTAATTTCACTGTCTTTTTTTCAACCCCTCGAATTTGTTGATGGAGTTTGTGATTGTCCTTTTAAATTCTGTGTTATGATGTTCATATAGGAAATTCCCATTGGTAAAGATTTCCACAGATCTGATAAGTTTTGGAGAAAAGATATTAGCTTGCCTTTTATAATCTGGTAATTTTGAAAAGGTAAATGAAAACATAGATTTCTTTAGTTACTTCTAAGTCTTATATAGATAGGGAAGTTTGGGGCATAAGGGAGGATGTGTATACAGGTTGAGTCAAGAATTGGAAAGTGGCTAGGGTGGAATGAAGGCAGGTGGGTAGAGGTATTTGAGATAGTGTTCAGTATTTGCCTTTCTTTCTAAGCCTGGGATAGGGAGGTAGATATGTCTGGGTGTAATTTTGACATTGTATAGAAGCTTCTTATGGGTTGGGAGATAGCTACAGAGACTCCTGACCAAATTTTACAGATGTTCTCTGGTACAGTTAGGGGAGGCCAAACCAGGCTTGGATACCATGTGAGACTCATGCATGATGGGGAGGTTTGTGGCGCGGTATGAATAGGTAGGACAGGGAGAGTCACCTGGCTAGACTTTGGAGAAAGTGATGGGATATTTAGTCTGTGGAGTGGTTGGCTGAAGTTAAGTTGGCTGAAGTTAAGAAAGTAAGGTGAGTTCTTCTGGAAGCAGAGAAGTCCTGCTGATCTGATCAATCAGACTAGACAGGAGCATTGGTTGTGGGACAAATAATAGATCGGGAGAGTTTCAGAGAAAGTCTCAGTTGGGATTTCAGGAAGACTTGCAGACATAGGCTCTGAAAGAGAATGAGGGACATTTTAAATTTTTAAATACATAAGAAGAAAAAGATATACCCAAATGACATATGTTGTGATAAGAAAAACATGTCATAAATCTTAAAATGAGAGAATGAAATGTTCTGGGGCCATCTCCTAAGTATTGAGAAAATATGTTATCAGAACACTTGTATAATTAGCTAAAATTTAAGTGAGGCTTTCAATTTTTTTGTGTACACTCTAGGTGTGGAACAGCTGTGATTAATAACTGGAAGCTATTTCCTCTAAGCTTTTATTTTCCAGTATCTTCATAAGTACTATTAGACAAAATACAAGCACTGTCTTCTGCTTTCTCCATCAGGCTGAAGAACCGTAAGTTCATGAGTCTCCAGACACCCCCGCTCAACATATACTGATTCCCCCTGAGACATATGTACTGCTGCTTGTGGACTCTGCCTTCCTATTGGCAGTAGTACAAAATCAGATTCCATTTCATAGCAGAGCTCTACCTGTGGAGAAGAACAGCAAGATGCTTTCCTGGATGTGGATTTTTGTCAATACATTTGATATGAGATATTTCACACTCCGTCTTTTTATTCATATTTGTCTGTTCCTATCATAAAGTAAGTATATATATGGGCCATATCTGTAAATGGTGATAAATTACCCAGTCATTTTTATCTCATAAGTGCAAACAAAAAGTCAACTTAAGGTGTAGAAAGGGGAAGCAACTAAGTCATAGACAAAATATTACTAATAATCATTTTTATTCTTGGACACTACTATTCTGCTATAGGGAAGCCAGACTTCATGCTAATAAGGACTTTTGGATCCTGTGATGATAGTTTCCCTCCAGATGGAGACCATGTTCTAATTTTCTGATATTCATGATGTATTATGGGAATAGAAGTCCACAGATTATAGCTCATTTTTTTTTAATTTCAGAAAGCTGAGGACTTCCAAAATCTTCTTGAAATGTCAATTACTAGGTCCTGTTTCATGAGAACAATAACTTTAGACATTCATAATGTGAGCTAAAAATTCTGAGGAAACCAGGAAAAGATGTGAAAGTACATGGAAATAATGGGTATGATTTATATGATTTTAAAAATATTAGTATCTTTTATGACTTGAAAGAATTTATGCATTCCTTTATAATGCAGCTATAGGTTTGAAGAAAAATGAATTTCACCATGGCCATTAAAAATAAAATACTAACATTCTCAATTATCTTGAATATAAGTGGTTACTAATATAGAGGAAGGAATATCCCTAAGATTCCAAAGTTGGAATGATTCTTGTTAAGAGGCAAGCTCACATGTAAGTATAGCTGCATAATCAGTTGTTACTTGATCTACCAGGGAAATGGTACAATATAGACCACGAAATACATGTTGTTTGAAAACATTGATTCTGTAGAGAGAACAAATGTAACTCTTCATTCCTTTTCAATCTGTTCTCACTCAAACACAAATAAAGGACTTGTTTGATGGTAATGAAAAATAACAGCCCCTGTGAAAAATAAAGCCCATTACATGTAAATAAAGTAATTAAATTGTGTCTACTGTTTGAAAAACTATACTGTTAGATTTCTGTGTATTGCTATATATCTGTATCACAAATAATACATTCCATACACCAAGCAGTTATCATCTGTTCCATGATTCAAATAGAAGAATCCAAGGGAAGTCCTTGGAAAATTAGAGAAAAAAATCAGAGTACCCATGGAGCAGCACCTATAATCACTTCATAGCTGCAGCTAGTGAGTTGAACTTGGTACAAGTATCAGAGATGGGAAATACATTAGATATGTTTTCTAATAACATATAGCATTGCTCTTTGATGCCAAGTAACAGTATATTTTAGACAAGTGTGTCTGTCAGATGTAGCAAACAGCAAATCTGTCATTTGTGGGTTACTAAAATAAATATTATCATATCTCAGAAAACTGTAAGAAAACCTAAATTCAGAATAAGAAACCCTATACCAGGAAAGAAATGGCAATCTCCATTTGTACTACACCCAGATAAGTGGCATAAATTCAGCCCATTTCCACACAGTATTCAGTTTAGGCTCCTTTACACTAGATGATGCTAACATTTCAATTAGAAAACTTGGTCACATGTAAAGCTTTGTGGTAAAATCTATCTATCTACAATAATTTTTCATTTCCTCCTTTCATTCTAGGAGCCTGTCATAATTCCCATATAACACAGATGCAGAATATTTCAGAGGTGACTGAATTTATTCTTGTGGGGTTAACAGATGTCCCAGAGTTGCAAGTCCCTTTATTTATCATCTTCACTCTTGTTTATTCGACCACACTGCTTGGGAACCTTGGGATGATTATGTTGATTCTCCTGGACTCCCGACTCCACAACCCCATGTACATTTTTCTCAGTAACCTCTCACTGGTAGACTGTGTTTATGCCTCAGCTGTCACTCCCAAGGTAATAGAAGGGTTTGTCATAGAACACAAAGTCATGTCCTACAATGCATGTGCGGCCCAAATGTTCTTCTTAATAGCTTTTGCCATTATTGAAGGTTTCCTTATTGCTTCAATGGCTTTTGACCGTCATGCAGCAGTGTGTAAACCCTTGCATTACTCTACCACCATGACAACTACAAAATGTGCCCTACTTGTTGCTGGTTCTTACATCAGTGGACTCTTGCAATCTTCCATCCATGTTGCCTTCACTTTCCACCTCTCTTTCTGTCATTCCAATGTAATTAACCACTTTTTCTGTGACATTCCCCCATTGCTGGCTATTTCTTGTTCTGATATCTATAATAATGAAATCATACTGTTTATGTTGGCAGCATTTAATGTTACTTTAACTATATTGGTTATCTTGAACTCTTACCTACTTATTTTTATTGCAATCCTGAGGATGCGTTCTGCTGAGGGCCGTAAGAAAGCCATTTCCACCTGTGCATCCCACCTCACCACTGTTTCTATCTTCTATGGTACAATCATCTTCATGTACTTACAACCCAGCTCCAGCCACTCCATGGACACTGACAAGGTAGCATCTGTGTTCTACACAATGATCATCCCCATGCTAAACCCCCTTGTCTACAGCCTGAGGAATAAAGATGTCAAGAATGCATTCAAGAAGATTGCTGTGAAAGCATTAGCTTCACTAGAATTGGGCAATTAAATGTAAAGTGATTGAAAATTATGTAAAACTTCAAAGTACATTGTCTATAAATATTTTAGTTATGATCTTTTTAACTTTAATTTCTCTTTTTTGTGTTGCCTAACTAGAAGTTATTATTTTTATTTTAGAAGCACTCTTATTTACATATAAATTCCCCCATTCCCTCACCCTCCTATGCTCCCATGCTCCCCACCAACCCCACCAACCACCCCCAACCACTCCACAAAGATAGTGAGGACCTCCACAGTCAACCATCAAAGTAAATCACATCATTTGGGAGAGGAACTAGGCCCTCTTTCTTGTATATGGCCTGCAATAGTATCCCTCCATTTGGAATGGGCTTCCAAAGTCCATTATTGTTCTAGGGATAAACACTGGCTCCACTGTTAGATGTCCCATAGACTATCTTGGCCTCTAGCTGGCACCCACATTCAGAGGGCTTGGTTTGGTCCAATGCTGTTTCTCCAGCTTTATGACTAGGGTCTCCATGATATCAGGAGGTCAGGTCCACAGTTTCTTTGGGTTTCTCCAGCACCATCTTGGATCTTGAGCTCATCCCTCCTCCCTCTCCACAACTGGATTCTTGGAGTATGGCTCAGTGTTTAACTGTGGGTGCCTATTTATGCTTCAATCAGCTACTGGATGAAGGATCTAAGAATGACAACCAAGGTCATCATCAATCTCATTATAAGGGAAAGGCATCAAAGACAGCCTGTCCACTACTGCCTAGATCCTTAGTTGTGGTCATCCTGTAGATCCCCTAACATCTCCCCTGTGCCAGACCTCTTTCAAACCTATTCTGGTTACCTCTATTAAGGCATCTACATTCTTGTCCTCCTCTATTCCTTCTGCCTCAGTCCTCCTGTTCTCTTCTGTTACCCTAAGTTATTTCATAGATGAAGCCTTTTCTGTTCATTATTTTTATTTTGATTAGGTACAGTTAATTTTGGAGATTTTATTATTGAAATAAGACACTTCAGTTTTAAAAACCAAGATTCCAATCTTATGTATTACAGTACTCCACTTTACACCACACTACATGTTTGAATTGATGTTCTATAACTATTTGTTCTGATTGAAACATTTGTCCTTGATAGAGGAGAGAGATTAAAAGCTTAATAAAAAATAAAAATTGAAGTCAATGTGTCTCAATCCACTTAAAAGACTCAGGATGTCAATGAAACTTACCCAGATCCATATCTTATAGAGACACAGATTCCCAAATTTGGGTCCTTAGAACTATAACAGTAAAAACAAAATGCTAGAAAGAAGAGACTCTCTATCCAAGCTTCTTGTAAATTGTTCATTGAGTTCCAGAAATACAGATTTTTTCCTGGGTGGTCACCCATGTTGGCTGAGCTTTCAAAAAGTGATTGTCCTAGAGACACCCATTTTAATGCAGACAACACCCTACCCATACTAAGCAAGTCACAGCTACCACGAAACTCACTTGTTCTGCAGGATAGACCTGGCTGATAGTGTATCTTTGGCCTTTCACTGGGGCTCCATCTGTGTTCACATCTCAGGATAGTCATAAAAATAGTGCTGTGCTGGTGGCAAAATATAGACAGATGGATAGATGGTAAATACAAGAGTTATATTCTCAAATATTCTTTTAATATTGTATGAGTTTCGGGCTGGAGGGATAGCTCAGCTGTTAAAGGCTAGGCTCACAACCAAAAATATAATATTGTATGAGTTTCTTGAGTGTTTCTATAATATGCTTTGATCAAACTCACCCTTGATCTTTCAAATTTCCCCTTCCCTATCTATCCAATTTTATACCATTCAGACTAAATTTGTGTATTTCATATGATCTTGCATATTTGGTTTGCACTGGAGTGTGGTAAACTTACCTATGACTACACCTTTAGAGAGAATTCTCTCTCTCTCTCTCTCTCTCTCTCTCTCTCTCTCTCTCTCAGCAGGTATCTCATTGACAAAAACTTCAATGGAAACTGGCAGGATTGTGTACCCAACTCTGGGGTTTCCAGTGAGCTATTGAGTTTTTCAACCCCAGCTTCATTTCAGTCTCACTTCTCTTCAATAGTTCTATCTATACAATAAAATCAGTTTTCAAATACCCAAGTTGTGTTTGTCATCTCATTCATGTGTATGTTAGTTTTTTTTTTTCTGGGAGATCACTGAGACATTTATTGTTATCCTTGCTTAGTTCACTAAGCTATTTTTTTATGTCTTATTTAAATGCTTTGAAAACTTTCACAAAATTTGTGGTTTTTTCTTTAAATTTCTCTGTCTTGGGGTTCATCCAGGTAATTCTTGGTAGAAGACATTTCTGCAGTACCAGAGGATTTTAGGGGGCATATATGGTTTTGATCTTAGACATTGTTTTTGTGATGAGTTGTGAGTATATGGACTTCTTTTGTTGTTTGTGTGTCTGATTTGAGAGATTCTAGGCTGCATATGACTATGTGGCTTTGATAAAACCTGAGGACCAGGGATGGCATCAGCAAATAAGGGTGCAGGGAATCAAAATTTCATCTGCATAAAGATGTGAAAACAGGTGTTGGCCAGGAATTTGGATATAATGCAAGTGATGTAGAGCCAAGAAGACTCACCAGATGTAGGATGAGGATATAAGAACTGTCTGACTCTTGAAGATTGGATATGGATTGAACAACTAGAATGAAAGCATGGAGGGAGAGCAGAATCATATAGATTGGCTAAAGTTTCTCTAGAAGTAAGTGAGACTAGAATCTTGTGAGTTTCAAAGAAATTTTAACAGCCTGAAGGAAATGTGCTCTCCTTGGTAAACTGTTGTCAGATTAGGGAAACTGGAATGGAGAAGAAGGGGAGGTAGTGCAAGAGAGTGTAACTGTGTATGCCACATTTGCTGTTTTAAAATGTCTGTTTTTGTCAAATATGAGTGAACTTTATTTTTGTATCTTTGAGAATTTCATACATGAGTTCTGCCTCTACTTTATTTCTACTGTTCTTCCTAGTCAACTATTTCCTTGCCCCCAACTTCTTCTCAAATTCATGACTTCCCCTTTTTTATGCATCTGTGATTGTGTCTATTCAGTGTTGCTCAGGGTTTCTCTGAGTAACAGCTCTGGATGTCCTGGAACTAGCTCTGTAGACAGGTGTTCCTCTGTTTCCCAAGTCTGGGGATTAAACCTGTGTGCCACTACCACCCAGCAGAATTTTTAATAGAAGGAAAAATATCCTCAAATCATTTTACATCATTTTAGACAAGGAAAAATGTACTACGAAAACATAAAATTGCCTTCTCCAGAGGCTTTAGTGGGACTTTTAAAATTGTCCTGATGCCTGAATTAGTTGTGACAATGAGGCCTTAATGATCTGAGTTCTCTCATTAAAGTTTTATTTGCACATGTCTTCATAAACCACCTCAGACAAAATGTAAACTACCCTTTGTTTTCTACACCAAAGTGAAGAACCACAAGCATACACTGATACTACTGAGATATCTATAAAGCTTGTTCTCCCTGTCATAATATTTGTAGAAGCTAAGCTACATTCGGTTCCACATCACAGTTCCCTACATGTAGGGAAGAAGATGCTTTCCTATTTCTGCACATTGGAATGACGTTCTTGTTTGATATGAAGTGTCCCATGTCCCTCAATTGTTGAACCACTACTTGTGTACATCTAGAACACTAAGTATCACAACATTGTACCACCATGTTCACTCAGAACTGTAAAAGGGGATGGACCATGTGATAAGTTTATTTTACAGATGAAAACAAAAATTGTAAAAAGAAAGCCAAGAAGGGAAAATAGCTGTACTACAGACAATAATTCTAGCCATCTTATCATCTTTGGTCTACTGTTATATCTGCTCTTCTGCACAGCTCACAAGCCTCAACACTTCATGCTTATGACCATCAAGTCTAGGGTGAATTCTGTTATAAAAAGAGAGGTGGAATTCTCAATTTTCATATGTTTTAAAGATTTTATGAAATTAGAAATACAAAACTTAATGTTCCCTCTTTAGGATCTAGAGGACACCTATTTGACATTTCAGCTGGAGGGTACTTTAGAATTAGTTTACACTAAAACCATAATTTCAGTATTAGTCACTATCCATGAAGATATCAGATTTTATATGGACAGTAATGACTCTAATAGGTTTAATTTGATATTAGCACTTTCTATAGTTTTCAAAACACATTCTAATTTATGGCTGTAAGAGAACTAGAATAGCCTAATAATAGATAGGGTGATTTTAACTTTAGCTATTAATTAAGATAGAGGATTAATCATCTCTCACATTGAATATGAAGGGATCATAATTCAGAGAAAGAGTAATCCTTAAGATTCTCAATTCAAGATTCCATATGCTGAAGTTTTTATTTCAGGGAGAAAGATCCTACCACAAATGCAACCTAAGCAAAAGAGTAAGGGATCACCATAGCCACCATATAGGTATGTATAAGAAGATAACACTTTGTATAATAGCCTGTGAGGGTAACAATATATGGAAAGGATAAAATACTATCTATTCTTTCTTACTTATTCTCTAATACACCCATGCATAGAATAGTAGTTTATGTGAAAAATGAGGATTGTGACATGAAGAGAAAATATCTGAATCTTATTGTAACTGGTTGAAAATTCCATGTACAGTTTTTGAGGTACTGAAACGTATCAACACACCAGTAAAACTATGTTCAAGGGATTGTAAATTTCAACTTACCTGTTTTTAAAGGAAAGAGTTTAGTTAAAATCACTCTTTAAAAAAAAAGGTATATCTCTAGGGAAAAGACAAAATCATGACCTATCTATTGATATTAAGAAAAATGTAAGCTGGATTGTTGCTCAATGATAGAGCATTTGTTTCATATGAGCAAGTTCCTAAGTTTGACCTCCAGCAACGGCAATAGAAAAAGGAATTAAAAGAAAAAAAATCAGTTGATTGGGGTTTATAACATAAGAGATGCACTGATAGCTTTTGCCTACATAATAGGCTGATATGTAACTACCTGTTCCTACACTGCACAGCCACTGATTAAGAA